GTACTTTTTCATATTTTGGTTACATGATACGTTGTGGGCTTTTCTGCAAATTAAAGAGGATTGATAACTTTATATACCTTGGTTATTTATTTTTAAACACCTTGGTTATTTATTTTTAAATACCTTGGTTATGTATTTTTTCAAAATTGATATGATTTCAGATTCTATCTCCTGTTTTCAGAATTAAAAGTTTTCTTATAAGCATGTGGGCAAGATTGCACTCTAATGCCAATGCTCTAAATTTCCAACTTAATAATTAGTTTTATTTTTTTAAAGGATTGTAACAAATTGATATATAAGTTACAGACGTAGATAGGAGGAGATGAGATGGAGCCTGTTATCTTTCTGTTTATACTTCCCTTTTGTATTGTACTGGCCGCATATGTTAGAAGTTGTATCAGCCCTGAAGCTACTCACTTCAAACACAGAGCTCTGATTAATTCAGTGCCAAATGTTTATGCATGAGGCAAAAATAAATTAGTATTCCTTTGTAAATTCAAACAAGACAAATTAGTGGCAATTAAAACTCTTTCATGTACTTCAGAGTATACTGTAATTCACTCTGTTCTATCTTTAGAGCAAACATTAGTTTCTAAGGCATAACAGGAATGCTTTTGTCTAGAGAAATGGCAATGTTTGATGTGGAAAACATTCCTTACAGCATGCTGCGGACAACTGTGCATCCACTGCACAGCTATCGCTACGGCATTAAGCTTCATTCATCATTTCCCTGCATCCCGCCTTCTAGCTGTAGGACTCTGGTCATAAAATGGACCATACGTTCTTGGGCATGTGAGGTATCGATCCTTAACTTTGGCTGAACTACACCTACTTTTTGATGGGTTTGTTCTATCTTAATAATTGCATTTGAGTGTGTGTGTGTATATATATATATATATAAATAAAGATGATTATGTGTTTTTCAGTTTTCACTTGTCCAGTTTGTTCTTTCCTGACCTGTTTAGGAGTGCCGAGTATGTGCAGTTACGATGTCAAAAATAGCTAAATGGTCTCAGCACCTTAGCTGGGAAGACAGCATCCACAAACATAGGCACACAGACAGTTGCCTCTTTGAGTCTGGTGGTCAGGATCTCTTAAACAGCATGGGTCTGGTTTTGTTTAAGAAATACGTCTCATCTCTAAAACTGTAGCATTTATTCTGAGAATATCTGAACTGCATATTAAAAGTGAGGATCCCTGCCTGCAGTTTGTACATAAACCTGCGATTCAAATTCCATCGGACAAAATGTTTTGCCGTCTGAAAGCCAATTGACTCTCTGTTACTGTGCTGTGTCATTTTTAACATGTTCTCAGCTAGTGCTGTGCAAATGCATTTGTCTTCATTAGACAGGTGTACCAGCGTGACAAAGGTAGTTACGTTCCAGTGTAGTTTTTGTGTTTGCTCAGCAGGTGCTTGAGAGGACAAGAGTAAAATTCCAAACAACTTGTTTTAATTATTGGGTCTGAAAACAGGATTCTAAGTACTGTCAGTCAACAGAATTGGAATTAGCTTGATTAATCAATTCCTAGCCCTTTCCCTGAGGAAAAATTCAGAAGGTGAGATGTAGATTTTGCTTTTAATATTTCCCCTCAGATTACTAATGATCACTATTAACAGGACAATTTTCTCTTCCGCACAGAAAGAAACTGCAAACTCTCTGGAGAGATTTAATTTACAGCAGTGGCCCTTCTGGAAAACCTGCTTTGCCTTGTGAGTTATACCCGGAGTGTGGTGTGTATATAATCCTTCCCTTGGAGTTTTATAAGAATACAGCCTTCTGTGATGCAGGGAAACCAGTACAGTGAGGGTGGGGAAGCGCTAGGCAAAGCGAGGCCAGGCTGCCACCTAGTGTCACCCAGGGGCTGGATGGCAGGGGAGCTTTCCATGGGCACACCGGCAGGCTGGGAGCAGGAGCGGTACGTGCTCAGTCCGCTCAGGATGCCCACGGTTTTCTTCTGAGCTGTCCGGGGACTTCTGAGGAATCCCCCAAAGATGCCACGTTGGGAGCCAAGTCTCTCAGAAGACGGCAGCTGAGCGAGATGTAGACTAAGAACAGCGAATAATTCATTGCAGCCCAGGATTTCTCAGCTTTTCGTCTCATCCCCTAAAATAAATGGCACTTTTATTCGACAGAAGAGACAGGAGAACAGCAGCAAGGCATCCCGAGAGCCACAGCTCCCGTTTTTGGGAATCTCTGATTCAGAGATCCAAAACCCAGCCTCAGGGCTTCACTCCCACTCCCTGGCTTGCACCCAGAGCAGGAGTGAGATAAGATGTTCACATGCTTCAGAGGCGCAGCGCTGCACCGGGTCTCCTGAACCTCTCCGCCGTAGTTCTCTGCATCTAGAACAGTCACAGCAGTTGTTTACATTAAATACTAACACCCAGGAAAGCATTTGTGATATTTCTGTAATAAGGTAATTTACGAGATACAAAATAATAATGCAATTTACCTGCACTAAACATAGTGGATAGAAATAGAATATTTAAGTACCCCAGAGCTTGCTAATTCTGTGGCTTAAAAGAAAGGCCTTGACAAAAGGCACAATACGTCTGTCAAATAAAATACCATTTTACCAGCACTTGATTCAGACAGCTAAGTCCAAACCCTCCGGTGCTGTACAATGCTTAGGAAGTTTCCACACACATTATGTGCTGGAAGAACTGATAACATTTATCAACAGCAATACAGTATAAAAGCCCTAAAAAGTACACATTCTCCGCTGCCGTGAACAATCTAACAAATTGGCTGAGCTCTATGGGAAACCTCAGCGTGTTTGCTCAGGCTCACTTGAAGTGCAAATAGTCATGAGTATTCATCACACCGAGTTTTATTTTTTATGAAACAAAACAAGCAGAAATGGCAGTATATTGCACTCAATCTGAAGAAATGTGTATTCTGCTAGTATTGGACTTGACAGATTTTTTTCAGGTAAAAACCCCTAACTAAATGTAACCTTCAGTCACAAAAATGGAAATTATTACCAAAAAAAATTCAACCTGAAACCTTTTTGTGAGATTTTTTTGTTTGTTTGTTTTTGATATATAATTATGCTGGTTCCCACAGTCAGACTATGAATAAGCTTCTAATAATGAGCTCTTGGTGTTCCTTCTGACATGGTGAAGGGATTCTTTACAAACCCTTTCAAACTGAAGAAACTGAACAGAAGGAAAACTCTTGAGACACAGCGGTTCATTACAGGACGTGTTCTTCAGCTGGATAAATTGGAGGAGTGGCACCTTTGTAATAAAACTACAGATCGTATGCCTCCAGCAAGGAACAGATTAAAAGGACAAACAAACAGAACTGTCACATCAGAACCACCGCCCATTACCTTGGCCCTTTCCAATTACCAACATTTCCAAAAGCAGTTATTCCACTTCTGAGCTGTAAGTTTACCTGAAAAGTTTTTTTTTTTATAAATTAAAATTGAATTTTGAAAAGGCAATCTTTGAGTAGGTTTCGCTTGAGAACATTAGCATTACAAATATTGTATCATGGCCGTAAAATTGCTTTGTAAAATTACATTGCCTTTCACGCATATAAATCTATGCACACATATAATTTTAAAAATGTATATAATGCAGTTCATGCTGTGTATTTTATTAAAAATACTGACTATTTATATTGTTAGATAACAATATTTTATGTTGTATTTATATTTCATATATTAAAATCATTTCTATTTTCACGTATACTTTACCCATATCCACATATTTCTGAAAGGGGATTTAATGCTGGAAAGAATTATGTTGAAGAATTATGTTGAGTTTAGTGTATCTGCTAGTGTTTTGCAAAATGGAAATTTCAAATTTTATTCTAGAATCAACAAGATTTAAATCAAAGCACGAACACGTTTTTACAACTGTAACAAAGCAATAGTAACTTAGACATTTCTGCATGTGTTATTTTTGTTTTCTTCATGAAGCTTACTTTATTTAAAGGCAAAGGTTACCGAGGTGACAGTTTGCCGATGGCACTGTGTTATTCAAGATAATAGGAATAGGACTGAGTGAAAAAATGCAGGAGGAAGAGGAATGATGGAGCAGACCCGGGAGAAAGAACTGGAGGGGGATCTGTGAAAGGAGGAGGTAGGTGAGGACTGGCTGCTTGTTATCATTTCCAGTTCAGGGCCTGGGGACATGGAGTGAAGCTATGGGAATCAGGCTTAAAAGAACAAAAAATAAAGGCGGGGGCTGTTCTGACAATGGCTGCTTGAGCGCTGGAAACACTTTGCCAGAGGATGTTGAGGACAATTAGAGTTTAAATGGGTCACCACTGAATGGGAGACTGAGCAAGGGAGATCAGCTCTATTTCCTTGTACTTGTTGAGAGAGATTTATTAAGATCTATTATTATTATTATTTTATTTTTTTTGTCAGACCACGACTCTCAAGACGTCCTCGTGTCATACAGTTTATTTCCAAACTGAAGACTAACATGCAATTCAGCCTGTAATTATAATAATTTCTAATAGCTTCATTGTACTGCCTGGAAAAAAAAAAAAAAAAAAGTATTGATAGCCGTCCAAGGCTAGCGGTGAGACCTTGATTGCGAAAAGCGCAACCTTCACTGTGCGGATGTTTATTGGCATTACAGCAGGAGATAACCTGAGGAGAAATAGAACGCCTCAGCGGCGTTACCTCACGCCACCGCCCCCCCCCCTCCCCTCCCGCCACCACAGGTGAGGCGGGGCAAGGAGGGGCCAGCGCCGCCTGCCATTGGCTCGTGGTCACGTGACGGGAGGGGAGGCGGGAACCCGCAAGCCGCGCCGCTTCATAGGGTGCGGTCCGCGGCGGGGAGCGTGCGCGTGCTGCTGCTGCTGCTGGCGGGGAGCGGGCGCCGGGCGGGTGAGGGGGCGCGGGGCTGCAGCCGCGGGGCGCGAGCCGCGCTTTCGCTGGGGGCCGTTGCGGGCGGGCGGGCGGCAGCGCTGCGGCGTTCGGGGCTTGGCGGGCTGCGGGCTCGGCTCCCCATTGGCTGCGCGGCGGCGGGGGGCGGGGCCACGAAGGGGTGCGCTCCCGCCATTTTGGGCGTGAGGCGATGTGAGGGGGGCGGCACCGGGGGGGTGACCGCTTCTGGGCCAGGTGCCCTCCTCAGCCGGTTCTGGGCTGTGAGGGGTCGGTAACCGTGTGAGATGGGTGGGGTTTGAGCGCTGTGGTGGGAGGCCGTGAGGTGATGTTGCGGTATTAGGGTGTTTCTGAGGTGGTGTTGCAGCCAAGTGTGCTCGTCTCTGTGTTTATTTGTGTGTTTTGTCTCTGTAGGGATCCCCATGAATTCCAAAATGAAACAAAAGTTGAATGTGGAGAAGTCGTCGGGATCTTTGCAGGTATAACCTCTGATATGTTGCAATTGAGGTACAGGCACAGATAAAGAATAGATAATAGATGTTAAAACTTATTATGGCTTCCCACATAAAGTTGAAACTTACAAAGGTTGCCCTGAGCATACTACTTGCTCTGTGCAGGCACTGTACAGGCCAGTATCTGGGAAGTGGCCTTCCCAGAAGCTTTGTATTGGCTAAAGGCATGCACAGGAACCTGTTGCTGTGTGTTCCCACCCAATTTACCTCCTGTTGGCTTGGGTTATGTCCTGGTGTAAAGAGTGGCTTGGGAACACTATGTCCTGCTTGGGCATACATGTTCATGGATCCTTTTTTCAATAACTAACATGTCCTTTTTAGTTTGACACTGAGGCATCTTGCTGTCTGTCCATGTGACTCTTAGATGTCAGCTACCTGTTGCACTTTGAGTACTGACTCAGTCTGGCCATAAGGGCTCTACAGAGTAGGCTCTATAACTTTTATCCTTTCTTGGGAGGGTCTTAGAGTTAAATCCATCTTGACTAGAACATGCTTTAACTGAAGTATGTAGGTAGGCTTCTTTCCAAGCCAGCTTAAGGAACTATAGTTGCCTGGGAATTGATGTTTCCACTAACTTTCTTTTTTTAAAAGTTGACTGATTAGAAGTTACTGAAGTTTATAATTCACTTACTCTTGGTACAAGACTATTTCATGGCTAAATGTAGACCCTAACTGGAATTGTACAAATGCAATTTAAAATAGTCTACCAGCCCTCTGTCATGAGGGTAGAGAGATTGTAATGAGAATTTATGGTATTAATGAAAACAGCCATTTGATAGGTCATGCTTCTTGTACTTTCAAATATGTATGTGCCATGGGTTAACTCAAGCATTGGTCAATAGTTCCTTGGCAGAGTACACTTAAATCTAATCCTCAATAGCAGCAAGCAGTGTCTGCCACACGGTGTGATTCCTGTTCCCACAGTAGTTAGTGTTTGTCCTGTAGTTCAACAGCGGGGTAATTGGTGGCAGAAACTACCGTGGGAAAGGCGAACTCTTGTCATACGAAGCACAGTGTGAATCAGTAACTTTCTCACGCTGGCGTGGCATTGTATTCTGGCTGTTTTTGCTTGGTTGTCTGCCATTGTTTGCTGTCCCATGGTGGCCATGTAACCAACCCAATCAGGAATCTTTAATGCAGGAAATAGGTATTTGTGCATGACAAGAAAGGTGATAAACATACTGTTTATACAAAACAATAGCCCATCTGGGTCCAAGCAAGGAAGCCCTGAACTCCAGTTTAGTGGATAATCAAAGCAACATATCTATTTAAATGAATGCCACTTGAGGTGTGTTCATGGGTAATAAAAACAGGTACTGCTTAAAGTAATGTGAATGCCTTTGCCAAGTAAACTTGCAATTGCAGTGACTTTTGTCTCTGTCCCCCAGAGATTGATACTGCTGTTGTCAAGTACAGCTGTGGGAGCTTCAGCTGTAGTGTATGTGTTCCTCTGCATCTTACACAGCCTTGAAATGTAGTCATAATATTTGTGCTATGACTTTTTCAGGTTCCTTTACGAAGGCTAAGGGCAGAGACTGAGCATAACTTCATATGATTAAGATAATCTCTACTGTAAATGATTAGATCCTTTTTTTGCACAAGCCTTGCAGTAGGCTTGAGTATCATTTCTTGAAAAGATGAGTGATGGGTTACAGTAATTAGAAGCATGATAAACTCATGAGTTTCTGTTTATGTAGAAAAGTGTGGCAACTCTCTGAAGCAATGTTTGTCTTTTCAGAAATACCTCACAGATACTGCATGCAGTGCTTCCCCAAGACAGACTCTTAAAATGATTCAGCCTTCAGCAAAAGGTTGCCTGGTTGGCAGAGGTAATGAGGTATGAATTAAATCAGCTGTAGTTGTGTAGTTATTTGTAGTTTTATTGAAATGATTTTGAGCTTTAATGAAAAAAGCATATAATCCACTAACTAGTGGCTTTCTAGCCACCAAGGCTTACTATTTTAGTAATAAACATTATTAAAAACTAGTGATCTTAGAGTACTTCAGAAAAAATGTTTGACACTTCTTGTGTTAAGCATGTTTATTAAAAATGTTGTTTGTAAGCTTGAACTAGTAAAGAAACTGGAACTGGTAGACTTGCTTGAAGTTGTGGGCAAGCTGACTTATTAAAATAACTTTTTTTTTAAAAAAACTTTGCTCTGAAGTTAAACCTGTATGTCTTCTGCAGAAGAAATCTTCAGTCAAACGGAAACTCTGGAATAACAAGTTTACTTCCTCAACTTGTAAAGCTGAGGTGTTTGTGGACAAAGGGCAAGAAAATGAGAATACAGATGATATCATTCAAGCTGTAGATCTCATTAAAAGTGCGTGGTAATTCTTAAAATGTTTTCTTCCACTTATATCCTAATGGGAGCATAGCATTTTAACTTGAAGCATGGTTCTTTTGTCAGTTAGATAAATGTTTAGTGTTTTTATGTAGTACTTAGTACTTCCTCTGTAGTATGGTAAATACTATAATCTGTATATATTATATGTATATCTGTCTGCTATTCCGTAGTTCCAGATACCAGTTACCATAAACTCATGGTGTGCAGTGCTGAGAAGTCCAGTAGTTCATTACTTTAGCTTATCTGCAGGCTTTCAAATGACTGAGTTAAAATGAAAGTCTGTCTTGATGTAGGATGCTGCTGCAGAAACCCCTTAGTTTCTCAGGACCAGTATAAAATATCTTGAGTTTAATGGGAGACTGATTAAGTTCGGTGTGGACAGTGACTTGAGAATAAGACTTCTGTCTTTAACAAAGTACAAGTTAAGGCTGAGAGTTGTAAATGTGACCATCTGTCTTACACAGCATGCTGTCATGCCTGAGGCAGCTTCTAGAAGACTCAGTCTATATAGCCATTAATACAGTGTAGGATTTTTGTCTTCTGTAAGCTCATGTCTCTAATTGTAAATTTACAACAAATCCTGTGGGAAAAACCCTACACAGAAATCTTATTCTTGTAGTGTAAGGAACACTTGTATACAAGTTAGGTATTTTAAGGTGATCTCCAGAATTTAGTACTAGGCATGGACTTACTGTATCTTCTTACTTCAGAAAGTCCTTCATCTCAATACTGGAAAGAAGTGGCTGAAGAAAGGAGGAAGGCTCTGTATGAAGTCCTTCAAGAGAATGAGAAGGTAGCTAGTGAAAGATAAAGAACTCTGGTACCACTGGCTGTTGTCCTGTTTTAACATCTTGTTTTTTGAACACAGTTGCACAAAGAAATTGAACAGAAAGATGGGGAAATTGCCCGCCTAAAGGAAGAAAATGAAGAGCTAATGTCACTGGCTGAACACGTGCATTATATGACAAGCATGATCGAGGTACATAAACTACTTAAACGCAGTGTTGTAGAGGAAAAGATGTGAGAAATCAACAAGGATATTTTAACAAATATTGACTACTCTAAAAAGCTTATTTAATGAAATTCTGTTCTATCCAAGCGCATAATAGATAAAAACCTTTGTGTAAGGAAACTGATACTTTACACTGAGTTTTTTGTACAGAGCTTTTTATTAAATGTAAGCTTTTAGTGGCCAGGAGAGCGTATTTCTGCACCTCAAGCAAAGTTTTGAAAGACAACTGTCTCAGTGCAAAAACTAAGGCTGATTCTATTGGCTAGTGTTTTATGAAAAAATGCGTGTTTATTTTGTACTTTAAATTGCAGACCTAAAGTAGGTTAACTTCTGAAGGTATAGATGGACAGGTGTCTCTGTCACTCTTTCTGTAGAAACAGAAAGAGATTGTAACAGCTCCTGAAACTGACAGACTAATACCAGAGCCATGGAACCTGGAAAGTGTTAATGGTGGTTTTTGTATGGATTGAACTCTCTCCTCTGGGATAAGAGGCTAGGTGCCTGCCAGATTATTTCAATTGGACCAGGGAGGTGGTAATTAAGTTGATTATTTTGAACTACATGATTAAGACAGAAGTAAACTTGATCAAGTTAACTTTAACTTAGTACACTTTTTTTTTAGTTTAGTCCTAAGACTCCACTGATTTGTTCCACCTGACTTCTTGGTTTTCAGGCAGTGCTGATTGTTAGTGAAACTAACAGAAATTAAATGACTTAAGATGCTAATGTAGTGGCTAACTTACTAGTGGTCCCTCAGTAGTTAACTTAAGCCATTCATTTAAGGCTTTAGTTGAAGAAAAGTCAGCAGAGCTGAGCCTTAAGATCAGACTAGGTTAAGAACTTGTTTTAGTTTGTTAATCAAGTGCTAGAAGTTACATTCAAATCTAGAATAACTGAAAGACACAGAAACTTTATCTCTAGTTAAAAAGTGAACTGAATGTGTTAGTTTAATTTTAGGGAAATGATTGTAGTATATAATTAGTTTTGGTTGCTCAATCCTTCATGCAGTATTTCACTGGTTACTACTCAATGTGAACTTGGTACTTTCTGTCCTTTGCATTTTTCCAGAGGTTAACAGGGCAAGAAACTGACAATCTTGAGACATTGGAAAGTCTGGCTTTAGAGGAATCCAAAGAAGAAAATGAAGAATTTAACCCTGGAGATGATGCAGACAGTACTTCTGAAGAAGGGCCATTACAAGTATCATGTGGTTTAAGGGAGAGTGTATCAGATGATACTTCAGGTGAAGCAAAGTACTGACAGCTGGAGTGATGACCTTAAATGGGCTTGTGTATATGCCTTCTTTTAACTGCAGTCTTCCTCTTGAAAGGATATACTAAAACTTTTCAGGTATAGAAGCTTGTGGGAGCATTACAGATCATGGTTTTTAACTGGAATTATGTAGCAGTGAGTATTTGAATACTGCTTGTACAGCTTGTTACAGGCTGCAGTTAATTGCTTGTTTTAAGTCTGAATACTGTGTATTTTGAACTGTTGTGTAAATACCATTTGGTCTGACATGATGTGAAAAATGATAAATAAATCTTTACCTTAATAAAACAGCCTCTTCATTGAGTGGGGAATGGCTAGTTCCAGGTTCAGAAGTCTGATGTGGCTACTGTAAATGAAAGTTTCCTGACTTTGGGGGGAGGGCCTGGGTGGAATTGTGAAGAACAGAATTGTTTTGGGGGAATAGGAGAAAGGAAAAGCAAAAAATAAAAATAAATTGTCCTGTTGGTGAGACTTCAAAAAATCTGAATAATGGGTAGTAAAACTCAAAAAGATCCTAAGGTTTAATTAGATTTACTTCATAAAACACTACCTCTGCCTTTTAAAGTAGCCTTTTTTTTTTTTAAGATGTGTGAGAGCTTAACTGGAACGTATTAGTCTTCTGGAACTACTTTGCTTTTTTTATAGAATAGTTTGGTTGTAAGGGACCTACAACTACCATTGAGGCTAACTGCATGACTGCTTCAGACCTAACCAAAAGTGTAAGCATATTACTGAGGACATTATTCAAACATCTTTTGAACAGTGCCAGGCATCAGCCACCTTTTTAGCAACCTTTTCCAAGGTTTGACCAACCTCATGGTAAATCTATTCTAACATCCAGTGTGAACCTACCCTGGTGCAGCCTTGTGCTCTGCCCCAGGCACAGAACCCAGCGGTTACCTTTGAACTTTGTGCTGTTGATGATTGTCCAGCTCTCCAATGTATTGAGGTCCCTCTGCAAGGCCTCTTGGCCCTTGATGAAGAGATGAGGTGGGATGTTCTTGCTGTCTTTCAGCAGCTGTGCTGAAAGCTTGATGGAGACAAAGCAGCCTACACTTCAGAGCTGCTCTGAGAGGAAACTCAGTGTCTGTTTTCAAAGGATTGTTGTGGTGTTTACCAAGGCGTGAGGCAACATGTTTACTGGTGAGTGTTTATAAGGAAAAAAGGCACACTTTTAAACTTTTGATCTGGTATCCATATGGAAAAAGTTTGCAGTTGCTTGTGCTGAGGTGGAAAGGAGGATAAATTGAAGGCAGGTTTTCTAGTCCTGAGTGAACTTTGAGCAGTTCTGCAAATAACAGAGGCTTCCCTGGACAGGCTTTAAAAGATGGTGGCTATTGCAATACCTTGTGAAGAGCTTAATGTCAAATGAGTTCCAGGGGGCTGAAATAATCAGGGATTGGGGTTTATGGATTAGGCCCTGCCAAAATGGGTGCTTCAGGGTGTGTGTAAACACCTGTGGAGCTATCAGATGGGTTTCTGTAGATTCCTTTAGTACATCATTCAGTCCATGTGGGTGTCACCTGGTAGATGTTTCACAACAGATTTCAGTGGGAATGTCAGAACCATTATAGGAAGCCTTCTGGCTTCTATTTAATCTGGCATCTGGTAAAGCATCATGTTTTCCTGGAAACATAAAAAGATTACACCTTCCAATTGTGCTCTGGAGGACTAAACATAATCCTTTCCATCACAGTGCAGAAAGAGTGGCAAGTGTATTTCCTTTAACTTGCACTAACGCTCTGTTTAACAAAAAAAATAATAAAAAAAAATTGCTGTTTTGTAGAATAACCCTGATTTTCTGCTCAAGAGAAATGGTTAATACATTCAAGTGACTTTCTTGCTTAGATTCAGTAGTAGTAAGTGAAGAAACACAAAACTTCATTTGTTGGAACAGTCCTTTTAGGCAGTGCAGTTTAGTTTATTTGTAGCTTGTAGCTGTTCTTCAGAGGTGGCTTTGTTTTTCAACAGCTGGAGTTATTTCACATTTTCTCGAAGCTGTAGAAAGCTATAAAGCTCTCCTGTGTAATTTTTTCGCCAGTCAGACCAATCCAACCAAGGCAATGTTTGCAGCTTCTGGAGCTTTTTTCCTTTGCTAACTGCTGCGGTACAGGTGTTAGTGTTAGAACAAAGGACTGTCAGAACATAAATCCAGAATTTGCATGCATCATCTCGATCTGGCTCTGGTTTCTTATTTCCATTAAGATGGACACGAAGAATGTTTATTGGTTTTAAATTGTGAGCTTTCTTGATTCTTTGTATTTGAATAAGAAAGGCAAGACAGTCCCCTGGGTACCTTTCCTTCTGTTGAAATAGACTGTGTGCAAAGTAAATCTTGCATGTCCTTCATGTATTCTGCCTATATTGCAGCATTTGGCTCGAAATATAACAGAAGATCTTATTTCAAAAACACACGTACGGGTCAGTTAATAATATAGTATGCTTGAACTGCAAGCCTCTAAAGCAAAGCTGTTATTTTGTTACTAGCTTCAGGTCATGAGCAGAAAAGTTTGCTGCAGAAACTCCTGAAAAAGCATGCTGCAGGAGAAGACCAGCTGTCAGATGAGTGGTGCTACGGGAACTGAACCCACACGTGTTCTTTATCCATCACAGATGCATTGGGCCTCAATCAAGTAATATCTCCCTGTAATATCAGAAATACTGGTATATAAAAACACTGTCGGGAGCTTAGTGCTGCTGCAACTCATCGCTATTTAAAATGTTCTAAAGTGGTTGGGTTTTAATTATTGACTTGAAAATTCCTCAGGATTTTTTAAACACGGAGTAGAATTGTCTTATGTAGTAAGTATAAAAGCTTCGTATGCATGAGTGAAAGATCTGTCAAGGGTGTAGAAATTATATATGGGTTTATAACTAGTTCCATTACAAACTTCTGACCTTTTTATTTCTGGTGAAATATGTAGGGAAACGCATGTAACATTGAAACACAGCTGTGTAACCACTGAAAATCAACTTCACTAAAAACAAATTTCATATGCAGCTAAATTACAAATAACGTTGTCTGAGTTCTGGAACCTAACTGGAGAATGTGATTTTTCCAAGAAGTCGTAGATGCTTTTGTACAGCAACCTGACCAGCGTGCTGACCCCTCTTCATGGTACAGGCTACGGCCACGATTTTGTCTTTCGCTGGAGGATCTGAGGCTTCCCGTATGTGGGATGCATCTGCTGGGTCCTGGCACTTCTCCATAAAAAGATGTGCTTGTCCTGAGGACAGAATTTCAGGTATGTAAGACCGAAGCACTGGGAGTCAGGACGTTTGCAGATTTCAGATGTTTCAAGAAGAAACAGCTGTGCAGGGACTAGCAGAGGCAAGCAAACATGGGGCTGGGGGAGGTTTGTGTGAGGAAGAACACTTTAATTGAGGACAGGTTTAGCAAAAACAACAATTAGAGTGTAAATGCCCATTGTATTTAAGACAATGCACAGAGAAGTGAATTAGACCGTAATAACTGCTTGGCTGGGCAACTGAAATTCTTGATGTTTGGCATTGTATTGCTTACCTGAGTGCCTGCAGCGTTGTCATGTGTTGCAGCCTTTCCACAAATAGCTGAGCTGATCATTGATTTTTGTTTATTTATTTATTTTGCAAGAAAGTACACTGCATATTCATTTACTTTTCCTTAGGGGCCATCAAACATTGTTTTCGTTTCACAACTGGGTTTGAGACTTTGAGCAGAAGGTTTGAAAAGCTGCCAAGCCCATGTGCTACTAGTGCTCTGTTCTTGCGACTGAATTGCATTGTTATCAGCTTCTAATTCAGAACATGTTTGTGTACTGTGAATGTATTTTTTCCATTCACATAATAACAGTAGTTCAGCAAATAAGGATGTTCTGACAACTTTATTTACCATTTCTTGTGGTCATTCGTGTTCAGGGTTGATACCTCGGGTACAATGATACCTCTGTGGTACCCTCAGCGGCATCTGAGCTATTTGAAGGCAGTGGATTCTATCATCAGGTACGATTGCACATCAGGGGTCCATATATAGCAGCATGGTGGGGTTGTGAAAACCACAGTAGTTCATAGTGTGAAGGATAAAATAGCACGAATAAGCCACCAACAAAAATGTCAGGCAAGCCCATTTTCCTGAGTACACTTTTCCTGGCAAGCTTTTCAGACTCCACCATTGCTGAGTTATTTTGGTACAGCAACTCTTTCCTAACCTACTTTTCTGGGGTGGCCGGGACCTTTAAATTTGTTAGTCAACCAGCTGCAGCCCTGAGAAAGAGGTTTTGTAATTACTGCTTGCCAGCTCTTTCTTTGCTAGTTGGGAAGTGTCTGTCTTGTTAACATTCACCTCTCTGCATTTGGGCTTTTTTCACTGGAAAGAGGAGAGCTCTTGCATTAATGCCTTAGGAAAAGGCAACATTGTGAGCTCTGGGAGCTTAAGAACACAGAAGTTATGAGACAAATGTAAGGGTTTGTTCTTTTTTATTTGCCTTCATGTTTTGGAAGGTTTAAGGCTCACTTTTTCAGGAGTTCATAGCACTGAGGGGAGAAACTTCTGGGATTTGTTTGGTTTTGTTTGCAGTGTGTTTGTTTTTTTTCCCATATGTTGTCACGAATCATGTCAGGATATGATTCTGATCTATTTACCTTTTTCCTAAAACAGTGCTAGTACTCAACATGAAATTTAGCATTTGTACATCTGTGTGCCAGATTTAACAGTGACAACTGTCAGGTACCACAACAGGAACTAAACACTTCCACTCAAATTTTTGTGAATTTCCACATTGGTTTTGAGAGCACAATTTGCTCCTGCCAGTTTTGTGTGAGCTGTGTGTGTTTATATATATATATATGTTTTGGTTTTTTTTAATGGTTAGAAGGGTGTAGTGGATCAGCTTTACATTAATAAACTCAATTTGAAATGAAGAAAAAGTAGGTCAAACATATTATAAGCTCTGCTTGACTTAGTACCCGTGTATATGAGTAACCCTATGCTCTCTACAGCTTTGGCTCTTTGTTCTACAGGCAGTCGTGTGTTCCTCAGATCTGTGCCATATTCCAAAATTTTCTGAAGGTGAAAAGGATCACGTTCTGTCCGATAGGTCTCATTTTGTGTAAGAGGGAAAGCATAATCCGTCAAAGCTTGGAGCCTGTTTTTGTTAACCTTCCTTGGTAAGTATCTTGAATGACACACAGTTGTTTTGCTCTGAACTTAAACTAGAAGTACCTAGAAATTTTGGGTGCTAGTGTTTACTTGAAAGTAAGCTCATCTAACTAAGCAGTGGTTCGGAATGCAGTACCTGTGGTCTGACGAC